AGAAACCTTCATCTACGAATCTATAGCTTTGAAGAACCAATCAAAAAATTTTCGAACAATCGATTTCTTCGATCAATGTTCGGTTACACAAAATCTTTTTTTGGAAATCCCCCGGACTGCACTATACAGTAAAGTTAATTAGCAAATGGTTAGATAGCAAAGAAAATATTAGAATTTTAGATAATACTACCGAGTAGCGGCCATTATATGGGTTAGGGCTCGGCAGGCTTAACAAGCAGGCGTAACAAGCAGGCGTGTTATTTTATGCCTTTCCTCCCTTGAAACAACCTGTTTCTCTATTATTTTTTACTTTCATTTTTTCTTAGCCGACCGGCCCTTTCTCATGTATTATTATATTAAAAAATATAATAAAGAGCTTTATGTTGAATTTTAAAACGATGTGTGCATATTTTATAAATGTATTAAATTCACAGACAGCGGACCGTAGGTCACATGATTATAGGAAATGTGATTGACTACCTTTTTAATCATTTGTACTTACGCATATCATCATTATCAATTAACGAATATATTCCTTATAAGTCATTCTCGGTTTTAAAACGCGAAAAGGAGCGATTTTTTATTTTATTTACACGTAAAGTAATAATGACAACTAGACTATCAAAAGAAACAATTTCATTTCTTTATCATCCAAGTAAGTATTTTCTCGTTGCTTTAATAAGCTTATTTAACCTCACTGCTAATACTAGCTTCTTCTAAGAGTACTGGAATAAGCCTCCTGGGGAATGGGGAGTTAACGATTGGGATTTGTATTACATTAAAAAAGTACCTGAAGCGAACAGACGTGAATCTCATAATTCGCTTGGATCTGAGCTAAAAATTCTTCTTGCATTACTACCGGAAAAAGAACCCCAGTATCAGTGCGCAAGCAGTTTAAAGAAACGACTTAAAGTTAAGTTCTACTCCTCTAGCATATTTGCACAAATTACATTCCCGCGCCCGCCGGCCGAGTGACTTTGTCACAGAAGGCAACCGGTTCGCTTGCCTGAAGTGGAGTGTTGATGCTGTGCATGTTCAAATGAAACCACACCCCTGCGCCCGTTGGCCGAGTGACTTTGTCACAGAAGGCAACCGGTTCGCTTGCCTGAAGTGGGGAATGTGCTGATGGCACGTGTGGTGTATGACATTTTGCTTGCAGTATACATTGCGATAAATTACAATATTTTAATTAAATATTTTCATTTTTTAAACTAGGAAGCCGACAATCTTCAAACCAACATTGATTTATGGAATGATGATATGAAAAAATTAGCGAAATCGGAAGTTAACAACAGAGTGAACATGGTAAGCATGGATGGTTATGATATTTTTTTTGTATTAACATATTGTCTTATCGTAATTCCACTATCCAGCGTAATCTAGAAAATGTGGTAATAAGTACGGGCATATCGGCTGGGATTCAGCACTTTGAAACATATAATTCTCAATTGTTGATTTCCCAACAATATGCCGGCATGAGGTTTGATTCGACGGAACAAGAACGAAAGAGAAAAGCAGACGAAAATAACGAGGAAGCCTCTTCTCGCGATCGTACATCTCCTTTACGTGACGATTTTTTTGATGGTTATGGCGAAAGCGAGGTGGATGATAGCGGAATAATTGAATGGGAATTTGACAGTGCAATTCCAACATGGCTTGAAAAAGGAATGCTGTATCATAAAGAATTAATTTCGGAAGATGAGGATAAAAGAATCAAAGATTCATCAAAGTAAATGCTTTATAAATGTCATTTTTGCACTTTTTTTCACATGATTAAATTATAGTTAAATTTTTTAAAAAAAATAAAAAGGTCGATATGGTGGAGAATTATAGATGGATCAGATTTAGATGTAACCAGAGAATACCTCTCAGAAGAAGAATTTTTAGAATTACAAGAGGTTTTAGCTAATGCACTCGAATTAGGAACTACAATTAATGATTGGACAATATTGAAACCACAAGCAGAGAAGTGTTTACGAGATTTATCAAAGGTAAATGGCTATAATTTTATGAAAGTTGTTATATACTTTATTTGTATTTATGTAAATTTAATCGCATTCTCTGAACTCAGCTAAATAACGATCAGATTAAAATAATTGGTGAAAAAGTTCTTCCCGAAGGAACACGCGGTGCATTAGAAGAACTAAAAAATTTTCTAAAAACGAGTTCCCAAGAATTTGATCTCGACTTGTTTGGCGATTCAAACAACCAAACAAATCAAACAAATGATACGGAAACTGTTGAAATCGATTACTTAGATGAAGACGTAACCTATATTTTTGATTTGATAAGATTTACGTAAGTACTATACATCTACTGTATGCCAATGGATTTCATTACTTGCTTACAACTTGTTTGAATTTCTTTTATCAGTTGTGAAATGATTAAGAGAAAAATTCCAAAAAGGAAAAATACAGAAAGAGATATTGATGTCTTTATAAAAAATTTTATTTTTCGTGCTTAGATAATATCATGGATCGACACTTGTAAGATTTTCTATTTTATTCTTTCTATTTTTTCTCTGTCTGTATTAATGCACGTGTTTTCATAAATAACAAATAAGTGGTGAACCAGTGTCTCGAGCTTCTAGAGCACGTCGTGACAAGGCTCACGAAGGAGATGAGGGATTTCATCTGGATTGGCTCTTTTGTGTATGTTAAATTATACATTATAATGTCAGTTGAAGCATATACTAACATAACTTGCAGAATCATGAATTAGGAGCAAAAGAGTCTTGGGGCCGTGAATTTTCTCTCTGCGAAAGAGCTGGTTCAGTAATCGATAATACAAGGAAAATTTTTTCTAATACACTGAAGGTTAAAAAAACATTAAGAGACATGCACATGTCATTAATGAAGTCTATCGCATCTGTTAGCAATAAAAGGGTGTCAAAAGAAGTACTACGATCATTTCCGAAGTTATTGATGCCTGGGCTTATTTCTTCACATTTTTTTTTACAAGCAGTGTTAATAGTATATGTTGGTGCTGGTTTTTATGTTTCCACTGATTTGGCCGAGTTAGAAATTCCTACCGATTATAATGAAGTTGATAAAATTTAAAGGTCGCACGTATTATTTTACAGTTCAAGGTTAATAATATTCTTTCTAATACTATTTATGTGAATTTTATGTGATATCTTACACAGTTTCTTTATGTAGAAGCTACTAAAAAAAACGATGCTAGGATATAAAATTATTAAAGAGAGAGCCGAAAAAGAAAAATTTTTGAAAGATAAAAAGTTAATGAATGAACATGCAGAATATCCTTCTCCACAGAAGAAGAAACAGAAACAGGAGAAGAAAAAAAAGACCCCGAAGCGGTCTCAATGTTTATAATATTATTATATTGCTTAACAGAATGCTTTGGAATTTTAACGTGTGTGGGTTGATTTAATTTATTAGGAAAAATGAAAACATTAATTTACAATGTATGGCTTCACTAAAAAAATCGCTTATGTAATAATTGATTAATCTGATAAAAACGTATCATGCTTAGGGCACTGACATATATTAGCTAATATTTTAGAGGTGGGAGGGTTAGTAGTTGATCTTAGGTTACACATAAATTATAAATCACGTGATAAGGGTAGCTTAGTATTTTTATTTTAAAAAATTTATTATGTGTCAAATATACATTACACAATTCTGATTTTATCAATTATCAATCTTGATCTGACATGTATTCTCTTAAATGCATTTTCTCAAAAAGTAGTATTTTTTTTCATTGTTGTTATAATGGAAGAAGAGAGAAATCATTAAGAGTTAAGAAGTTTTAGTTTTTACCTTTTCCTTTGGGTTGTTTACGGTTGGCAGGATGTATTGTTTATTTGTGATTCATCAAAAAAGTAAGCATTGAAAAATATTTGTTGCATTCAGAATAACAAAGATGCAAATATGTTGTTTAATTAATAGATAGGCAATTAGCCAGAATTTTCAATAGATTATAATATTCAAGCAGGTGTATTGGATTGGTAAAGTAACTGTCTTTGGCTTTGGTAATAGGAAGCAAGAAGCCATTATTCAATTGAAGGAATTTCATGACTTCTTTTGCATAAGGTGGATCATAACAGCTTGTTTTTGTGTATTGTTTAATATTGAGCAAATACTAGCATAGATTACAATGATTCTTAATCCAGGACCATGATACAAAACAATCATCAGTTAAGTCATTTTCTTTTTGTTATTTCTTTTTTTGTTTTTCTTGTCTCTTTCGTTCTTCTGTTTTTTCTTTTTCTGTACCCTCAAATTGTAGGTCTTTAAATAGATTGATGAATTCTTCGACATACCGATGTGACAGGTAAAATTTTAGATAGATTTAATTGGTAGAATAGAAAGTCAATTTTATTGCCATGTAGATCTTCTATGA